CCCTCCCCTCCCCTTTCCTCCTCTCATGACAGATGCAGCTATGTTTCTGGGCTCCATTTCCCCCCAGTCCTGGCCCCCCCAGCCACCTGTTCAGGCCTCAAGCCCCAACTCATACTCTGCCTGAGTACCAAATCCATAGGTACTAGGGCTTCTGAGACCTGGCTGAGGGCTTTCAAACACCGGCCCTTCATCCTAAGTGGAGTTTCACAGACCTGGCACATGGGTTGGGGCAGGGGCCAAGAGAAGGTATGTCTTTGCTCTGAAAGGGTCCTAGAGGGAAAGATCAGTGCTTTCCCTCAGAGTGAGAGTAGACACCTTTTTATATCTCTTAGACTGCCTCCTGCAGTGTGCACACGTTTTCTTCTCTTCTGTCCTAGTGAAGCCAGAGAACTGCTGCTCCCCAGCATAGATCTCTAGCCTCTGTTCCCTGGGGCCCATTTCCTCAGGCTTCTGTCACTTCCAGGGATTGGTTTGGGCATAAGCTGGGAGGTGGGTTCCTGAGTCAGGGAAGGACCTCGTGCTGACATAGGAGAGGAACTCCTTGAAGGGCTTAAGATCCACAGCCCCTGAGCCCTCACTGCTCTTTCCTAGGTCCGGGAATCAGCTCACGCCTTAAACCCTGGGCTGCTGTGTGTGGCATGTGGTTCCTACCGGCGGGGAAAGGCAACCTGTGGTGATGTGGATGTGCTGCTCACTCACCCGGATGGCCGATCTCACCAGGGCATCTTCAGTCGCCTGCTTGACAGCCTTCGGCAGCAAGGTATAAGCTCTATCTCTGGGTGAGCAGATTGGGAGGGGGGCAGGGCTAGGTGGCCCCCAGGAGGAAGAGCCTCAAAGTTGTAATCTCTAGGCAGGAAGCAGGGGAAGGTTGTTTAATGAGAATCCCACCTTGTGGCCAGAGCCATTGCAGGGAAGAGATAAAACGGCCCTATACCACACAGGTGCTCAGTACCACTTGCAGGTTGAGTGTCTCATCTGAACTTTCTGTGACACTGTGGGGGATGGGAGGACTTTCTATGCACATTTTACAGGTAAGGGGACAGGCCCAGAGAAGGTAAGGTCACCCAGCAAGTAAACGGGTGATCTGGGACTAGAGGACCCTCAATGATCAAGAGAGAGCTGGGAGGATGGGATGGGTCAGGGCCTGGCTCCTAGTCCTCCCAGCAGCCCTCCTGTGTTGGGCCAGGGTTCCTGACTGATGACTTGGTGAGCCACGAGGAGAATGGTCATCAGCAGAAGTACCTGGGTGTGTGCCAGCTCCCAGGACCAGGCCGACGGCACCGACGACTGGACATCATCATTGTGCCTTACAGCGAGTTTGCGTGCGCCCTGCTCTACTTCACCGGTTCTGCCCACTTCAACCGCTCCATGCGGGCTCTGGCCAAGACCAAGGGCATGAGCTTGTCAGAGCATGCCCTCAGCACAGCTGTGGTGCGGAACCCCCGAGGGCTCAAGGTGGGGTCTGGCCAAGTGCTTCCCACCCCCACTGAGAAGGATGTCTTCAGGCTCCTAGGCCTCCCATACCGAGAACCAGCTGAGCGGGACTGGTAACCCATGATTGAGGCAGAGGGGGCACCTAGCTGGATCTGCTGCCCCACCTGGCCATCTAGTATTCCCCTCTAGCCTTGGCTGGCTAAACTTTACCACTTTGACCACCAGCTCCCTGGGCTTGAGGGAAAGGGCCAACCTGGCTCCCAGGATCTGCCCAGCCCTCCTCCGGCAAGAGCAGGCTGCCCTCCCTTCTACTACACAACTGCCCTTGGTAGAGTTTTGCCCATGGCTCCTTGCCCCATTTTAAGCAGGAACAGGTGACTGGTTTGAAGCCAGCTTCCTGTGCTGAAGGCCCAGGCATCCCCCTTCTCTACCCTGAGGATGGCCTAGCTTCTGGGGTTGGGATAGGGGCTACGGGGGAGAGGCAAGCAGCTATGGCCCAGCATTACCCAAAACCCTTTGGAGTAGGAGAATGAGCCACTCCGTGTACTCCCTCCCCCCACCCCACTTCCTGTGCAGCTGGAGGTGTTGGGAGAGGGTGCGCCAGGCTCCATGAGGACAGCATTGGAAGGCCCGGGAGCCCAGTAAAGTGCATTTGACATTCAACTTGCCTAGTGTCTGTGAGCTGCTGTAGCCCCTACCTGCCTTCTTCCAACTAAGTGGGGATGGAGATGGGAGCCTAGAAAGGCAAGTTAACTGCTCTCCACATAGGCCAGACCTGAGTTAGCTCCTGAACTCAGAAGGGCACTGATGGATGTTAAAAGGGGGAATTCATGGAGTCAGGCATTTAGGAGTGGCTGTCTACCCATCAGTCTCATCAGTATGCCACTGACAGGAGCTAAGGCAGTCAAGGAAGGCTGCCTGGAGGAGGGAAGGGGCAGGCTGGCAGGGAAGTAGCCTATTTGAGAGAGGTAAGCAGGTTCTGGAGATAACTAAGGAACCCGGTTTAGAGGGGCTGCTGTGTGCTGGGAATCAGGAGAAGGCTGGGCTGGTGGAGGACTGAAAGTCAAGCTGAGGGGCTTAGTTCGATAGAGCAGATAGGAGCAAGTGCAACTAGTGGCATCAAGATTGTTTTCAGAGGCTTGACCTTGCAGAATGGAGAATTTGGTGAGGGGAGAAGAGGGATATGGGGGATTTTGAGGCTGAGCGTAAGGGGAACTCAGGACATAGAGATGGGCTCAAACCTGAGTGCATTGGCCATGAGGCAGGGTGGGGTAGGTTGCTGAGTTCTTCGTCTCTGTCAGTAACTTGCAGATTCCCAGAGCTGGCCTTTGTTGGCCTGGTTTCAGTCAGGGGATCCCAGCAGCCTTAGAGTGAGCCCTCCAACTCTAGTTCAGAACCCTGAAGTCTAAGCCATGGGGCTTTATCTGCATGGGCCATGCAGGGAAGGAACCAAAAGCCCATAGAGTCTGTGGGCCCCTTTCACAGCTCAGTACCACCCAGAGAACACCATCAAATGCCCGGAAACCTCTGTGAGGGGTGAGCCTCTCCCTCAGAGCTTCTATTCCCAAGGAGGTGTGGCTGTGCAGGGCCTGGAGTGGACAGGAGGAGCTGGGAAATCCTGCGACCCCCAGGTGTTAGGGCTGCTTTTGTCCTTGCCCCAGGTCTGCTAGTTCTACTCTGGACTGCACCCTCAGTCCTGCCCCCATCCCTAGCAAGGTCAGAGTTGACAGAAGCCCAAAGCCAAGGCTAGGAGAAGAGAACCAGTGGCTCTTAGGGTAACGTGGCCTGTTAACCCCTTCCTACACACAAGACATTCCCAGAACCATGGGGAAGGATAGTGTTGACTTCTGTGTCTGAAACCAGGGGCCCCCATTCCTGCCATCACCATCCTATCAAGAGACTCAATTCCAGAGACTGCCTTCAGTCCAAACAAACTCCTGATTCCGCCTTCTGGCAAGGGCAACCGAATCATGGGATATAAAGGGAGAGTGCCTATGTCCTCCAGAGAGATCCACCCTGAGGGTGGTATCATCTTGGCTGCGCAATCTGACACAGAAGCCCAGGAAAAGAGCTGATAGAGGGATTTCTATGTCTGGAGAAAGGCTGCCCGGTTTGGGGGAGGGGTGGTTCTCTGAGTCCAAATGGAGCAGAATGGTTGGGAGATTCCCCAGCCACTTCAGAGCCTGGACCTGGTTTTTAGCCCAGCACCCCATCCTGTTGGAAAGGGAGACTGAATTCAGAGCACTGGTTGGAATTGGCATTTTGTCCAGCAACTGAGCACCCCCAAATCACCACCCAATCACCACCTGGTCCTGAGGAGAAGGAGATGGGCACCACAAGCTTGCTTCCTGCCCCTAGTCCAGCCATTGTCACTCTATCCCTGAGCCAGAGCTGTCCCTGGTCAGACCACACGTGTAGTAGAATAATGGTCCCCCATAGGTGTCTACGTCCTAATCACTGATACCCTGAATGTGTTACTGATGAAAAGGACCTTGCAGATGTGCTTAAGGTTGATTTTGAGTTGAGATTATCCTGGATTATCCAGTGGGCCAATCTAATCATGAATCTTTAGGAGTGGAGAACATTCCCCTGCTAGAATCAGGGAGAGAGGTGAAAAAAGGTCAGAGAGGTGATGTTCTGGCTTTGATGATAGAGAAAGGGGCCACCAGCTAAGGAATGTGGGTCGCTTCCAAAGCTAGAGGAGGCAAGGAAACAGATTCTACTCTAGTGCCTTTATAATGGAGTGCAGCCCTGTCAACACCTTGATTTTATTCCAGTGAGACCAGTATCAGGCTTCAAAACAATAGAACTGTGTGGGAATAACTTTGTGTTGTTTTAAGCCACTAAATGTGTGGTGATTTGTTACTGCAATAACAAAGGACTAATAAATAGACAGGTGTCTTGGTTTCTCTTGTACAAAGTGAACAGGCCCGGCTGTGAGGTGGAAGAGGTCCCTGAAGTGTGGTGGGGTGTGGGGAAGGGGAGGGAGCCTCATATGCCTAGAATAGGGGAGGGTCAGGTGGTAGGTAAAGCCCTGGGGCCCAGCCTTCAGACTGACTGCCAATCTGAGCCTCCCTCAACATCAGTTTCCCTCTCACACTTTGTGTCCAAGATACAATCCTTTCTGGGCTACTCTGCCCTTACCCTACCAAACTGGGAGCCTCATCTTTTCCCAAGGCCTGGGGTGATGACATTTACCTTGGCCCAAGACTTGCACTGAAAGGGGAGCAAGATAAGGCCAAAGTTTACTCATGGGTTCTGGCTGCTCATGGGGGAGCAGCTATAGGGACAGGGGCCTCCCTGGCCTGGAGTGAACGTGGCAAGGTAGGCAAGCCCAGCCATGTCCTGCCCTCCAGGATCTAAGGTCTGGGAATGGAAAACACATGCCTTTTGTCTTGCTTCTCCAGGAGAATTCATGAATTCCTGTCCCTGTAAATGGAATGGGATGCCTTTTGCCAGGACTAGGAACTGCAACTTGGAAAAGACATTGGCTTTACTCTCTTCACTTCCCCAAAAGGAGAGCACTTTTTCAGGACCCTCCTACCATCTCAGAGATCAGCCTCACGTGGAAACTACAGCTGTTGGGGTACCTAATGCTACCTAGACTCTGCAGACACCCAGGAACTGCCCAGGCCCAGGATGGGCTCAGCCCCAAGATCTTTAGCTCAATGTCCACTGTAGCCTTGAGTCAAGGCACTGGCCAGCTAATTTTCCAGAGCCCTTGAGCCATGGGCAATCCTGTTTCTGAGCTGAAGCCCCAAAACTGGCCTGAGACTGGGCAAGGCCTCATCTCCATCATCTGAATGGGGGACTCTGCACACCCTGGTCCCCCACAATGGAGGTCAGTGCAGGCCAGAAAAGATCTAGAGGGAACATTCCTGAAAAAGGCCGGAAGGTGAGGAGAGGACCAAGGGTTATGGGACTATGGAGAGGCTCTGAGGATGCCACTGGGGGACAGTACAGTTGACCCTCCATATCTGCAGGTTTTGCACCTGCAGATTTAACCAACTGCAGATGGAAAATATTTTTTTAAGTTACATTGTTGCTGATGTGTACTATGTAGTCAGGCCTATGATGGTTGCTTCTTACTGACCATGTACAGACTTTTTTCCTGTCATTATCCCTTAAACAATATAGCATAAGAACTGTTCACAAAGCATTTCATTGCTTTGGGTATTATAAGTAATCTAGAGATGATTTAAAGTGTACCGGAGGATGTGTGTAGGTTATATGCAAATGCTGCACCATTTTATAAGGGACATGAACATCTGAAGATTTTGTTATCCATGGGGGTCCTGGAACCAATCCCCCACCTATACTGAGGGGGCACTGTACAGGCACCAGGGGAGGGGTCACTGCTGGCTGCTTGAGTGGCAGTGGAACCTCTACCTGGCCCTTTGCTCTGTTGGACTCAGGCCTGGCCCTGACGGAGCAGGCTCAGGGTCCCAGAAGTAGTGATCGTTTTACAGGAGACCCCCAGCCCCACTGCCCTCATCCAGGTGGGCTCAATTCCCTCAGCTGGGCTGTCACTGTGTTCACTCTGTTCATTTGCTTGTGTGCCTAATGTGCATTTCCAGGCCCTGTGTGTGCGCTGCATGTTCATAATTTTGCATCTGCATATGTGTGTGGGCAACGGGCTGTATGTCAGTATGTCTGTCTCTCTAGAGCTCCGTGTGCATGCCCCTATGTTGTCAAGGGCTCAGGCAGGGCCCGGGGCCTGGAAGGAGGGTCCCTGGAGTCCCCCATGGTGCCAGGCAGAGACTGCAGAAGGTGGTGGGATGCCGGCTGGGCGCTGGACTCTGGGTCCTTGTGTCCGCGGAGGCCGCAGGGCGGGCGGCCTGCGTCAGCCTTGAGCGGCCATCAATAGCGTGCGGTTAATTAATTTGATGGGAACAGCAGGGACCGCCGTTTGCATTTAGTGAAGTTCCAGGAACTTCCAACCTCATCTTCATAATTGGCCTCATAAATTGTAAGAAAGAGAGAGATCAGCAAAGCGGGAGGGAGGAGGGGCCGCCCGTCCGTCCTTATTTAATTTTATTGCTGAAATTCATCTTTTTAGCCTCCTCCGGAATCGGCTCTCCCTGCCGGATTTGCCTAATCATGATAAATTAATATTCATTTCCCCACCTCTTACCCAGCTCCCGCGCCTGGATGGCGTTGGGGAGGGTCTCCTTCCAGCCCCTCTGCCAGGCCTGGGGTGGGAGCTTGGGGGGCGGGGAACACAAAGGGGAGCTTGCATGCAGAACAGAAAGGGTAGCCTGGGGAGGGCTGAGGGGGAGCCTGGAAGAAGCCGTGTCTGTTACCCTGGGGGGTGGGGGTGATCAACTCTGGCTCTCAGATGAGGGGCTCCTGAGGTCTCTGTTTCTTGCTGGGCAGGGTCAGCCCAGAGGGTCCAGGGTGCCAGGCTGGGCCTGGGGGGAGGGCCAGGAAGTGCTCTTTTGGAGAGTCAGAGGCTGAGACTGGGGGCAGACAGGATGGATTTGCGAGATGAATTTTGAAGGCCAGCTTGAGCTGAGAGGTTGGTTTCTCACCTGACCTGGTCTTTGCCCCACTGCCCCACCAGCCAAGTGCAGGCCAGCTTGCCTCTGCAGACTCCAGGGGGACTCATCCTCATCTGGGGCCTCATAGGCACCAATGATCTCTGACCAACAGAAGCAGCCTCTCTGCTTCCCCTCAGCGCAGCCCAGCTGGATGGATGGGCCCCTTACACTGTGTCCCTTGGCTGTGCCGTGCGACTGTGCCATCTACCGCTCTTCCTCAGTAAGGCCCTTTTGAAGGCCTGCAGGAGGGTATTGCTGGGGAGGATAATGCAGTCCTGCCCTTCTCTGGGCAGGGGGCCCCTGAAGTCCAAAAGGTCAAAATTCTCTGTCTTCTTGCATCACAATTAGTATGTATGACCTGGAAGGAATTTTAGATTTCATCCAGCCCCTTGGCCCATTTTCAAGATGAGGAAACTGACAACGAGAGACGGGAGGTGACTGGCCCAACATCTCTCACAGAAGTCAGGGGGGCTGAGACTAGGAGTGAGGGATACTTCCACCCACCTTGGAGGCTGGGTGTGGTGGGCAAGATTGGCAGAAAGACCCCCAGTGACCCTTGCTCTTGTAGAACCCCCTTTCCTTTTGAGTGAGAGTGGAGACTTTCAACCATGATAAGGCATTACTCCCATGGTTATGTTACCTTATATGGCAAAAGGGGGGTTATCTGGGTAAGCCTAGTCTAATCATGTGAGCCCTTTAAAAGCAGAGTTTTCTCTGGCCAGTAGCAGAAGGGGCAGTCAGGGAGATTCAAAGCATGAGGAAGATTTGCCCCGCCTTTGCTGGCTTTGCAGATGGAGGGGGCCTTATGCAAGTACCAGGGAGAGTCCTCAAGGAGCTGAGAGCAGCCTCCAGCTGACAACCAGCAAGGAAATGGGGACTTTAGTCCTACAACCACAGTGAACTGTATTCTGCCACCAACAAGAATGAACATGGAAGCTGATCTTCCCCAGAGCTTCCAGTTAAGAGCTCAGCCCAGCCAACACCTTGATTTCAGCCTTGTGAGACACTACGAAGAGAATTCAGCTGAGCCTGCTGGGACTTCTGGCCTACAGAACTGTGAGAGTAAATGGGTCTCATTTTAAGGAGCTAAGTTTGTGATAATTTGTTATGCAGCAACAGAAAACTAATACATAAGACTTAGTGAAAGGGTGTCTTCGGAGGCTCCTGTGATAGGGGAGGAGATGAAGTTGGGAGAGGTCTGGGGCTCTGTCTTAATGCCATGTCCCTCCCTCCATATTCCCACATGGCCACAAGTGACTAGAGCTGCTCCCCAGTTGCCAAAGTCCTCACCACTCTCTGTTGTTTTCCCTGGGACCAAATCTTGGTAAAGCATTTATATTTATGACTCCTGCCAGGTGGAGTCCTTGACAGGAGGAGTTCCTGTGGAGTTGGGTTGGGCAGAGCCTTCTAGGAATGTGTTCACTATGGGCCAGCTGATAATTTGGTACCTTTCAAACCAGAATTCTCCTCCCCCTCCCAAACCAGGGTTTTTTAAAAAAAAATTATTCATGGGGCCTCTGTGGGTACTGGTCAAAGATGTTTTGATTCCCAGTGGAAAGCACCAACTTCTTTGGAGGCTGAGGAACACCAGTTGACATTTTGCAAGTTATGGAAAGAGTCTCCACTGAGGAGACCTGGGCTAGCTGCACCAGGTCTCTGGTTTATTTCAGCAAGGTTTCAGCAGTGTTTATTGATTGACTCCTGAGCCTGGCCAGTCACCCTTAACCCAGTCCTGCACATGGATTATATCATGTAACCTTCCCAATAGCCTTATGGGCAGTTGTATTATCTCCATTTTGCAAATGAGGATAGTGAGGCCCAGAGAGGTTCATTCACTTGTGCTAAATCACAGTTCATGAGGAACAGAGATGGGTTTCAACTTAGATCTCTGACCCAGGAAGCCCAGCTGTTTTCCTTGGCTCACCCCTGGGAGTGCCTCTAGAGCAGATCTAACTGGGTTTTCTCTCCTAACCTTGGAAGCTCCCTTATTCTCCCAGGTAGCCAAAGCTTTTCAGAGTCTATGGTGGGTTCTAATGCTGATGTTGAGGGACACAGTCCTTGGCCCTGAAACCTGGGGTTTTGAATCAGCAAATGCCCACTTGCCCTGACCTCCCACCTCTATTAGGGAATTAGTGGTGTTGGGGGGAGGAGGCACAGGTTCCTAAGCTCTAGCCCTACTGGAGGCATGGGTCCTGGTTCTATAGCTTACATATATCCCCATGCATGCTTCTCCTGACTCCCATGGCCCACACATGTGTCCCTGTACAAACCTGACCCTTTCCCTTCATTATCTCACACATGTCCCTGCATATGCCTGGCCCCTCCCTCACCACCCCCACATGCCTGACTTGTTGCCACATGGACTCCACATAGGGT